GTGTGCTTTTCTGGTAGCCGCAACCCGGTAATTACAGAAGTGGTTTGATAAATCTTGATATGAGATGTTTGATTTATATTTTGCGTAGTGGTGTCCTTGTTTGTGGTTGCACAATGGTTGAAAGGGCTTACAAGTATTCTCATAATAATATTTTTGTGATATAGGACTGTGTGTGTTGTCAAGCCATCTGGGACTATGTATGTTGTGAATCCTTTTGTTGTTCTGTTATGTTGACCTCATTTGTTGAATTTCAGATTTGTGGGTGCAAAAGAGTTGAAAAATATATATTATAAGTACGCATTTAACGGTTCATATTTATTTGCAATTATTGTAGCCATGGACATTGAGATGGATGAAGTCGAAGTTCTTTTGATCGTTGAGGATATAATGAATACATTGACCATTGTGTTTTTGATTGCCATTATGTATCTGAAAATTGTGAGGCAAAAAAGAAACCGTCATACAATTTCCGAAAACAATGGACGGTCGGTGTTCAAAATGTCCGATCGACTAACTAGGCAAGTACAACATACGAAAGAGCTTATAAGCATTAGTGACAGAGTATGTGTCGAACAACTACGTATGGACAGAAATGCCTTCGGTCATTTATGCTACCTTTTGGATGTTGGTAAATTAAAGAGTAGTCGAAATGTGCCAATAAGTGAGCAAGTTGCCATCTTTTTGAGTGTGTTAAGCCATCACAAAAAAAACGTATTGGTTAAGTATGATTTTAAATGTTCTGGTCAAACTATTAACAAAATTTTTCATTTAGTACTTAAAGTTGTGCTACGCTTATACCCGATTATCGTCGTACAACCAAAACCTGTTCTGGAGTCGAACAATGACTGGAGATGGAAATGGTTTAAGGTTAGTATTTAATAAAAAATAAAAAAATTCAAATAAATGCAAGTAGAAGTAATTTTATCTTATTGTTGTCCTTTTATTTTAAACTATGCCTGCCAGGGATGCTTGGGAGCATTAGATGGAACATATGTTCCGGTACGTGTTCCTAGTACTTTGCACCCGAAGTAGAAATAGAAAGGGTAATGTTTCTGTAAACGTATTAGGCGTATGTGATGTGGATATGAACTTTTCTTACATCTTGGTCGGGTGGGAAGGGTCGGCGGCAGACAGTAGAGTGTTAAGGGACGCGGTACGGCGAGATCATGGGTTACGTGTTCCTACGGGTGAGAGTTTCGTAATGGAAAAAATTTACCTAATTTGATCTAGGGTTCGTACACATTAATTAAAATTTTCAATAGGTTGTCGTTTACATAAGTTATTTCGGTTTGTTGCCTTCACAGGTAATTACTATCTTTGCGATGGTGGGTACACAAACGGTCCGGGATTTCTAGCACCATTTAGGGGCGTGCGCTATCATTAGAACAAATTCGGTGAAGGTCCTCGAGCACCTAGAAATCCTAGGAAATTATTTAACCTTAGACACGCTAGAGCAAGAAACGTAATTGAAAGGGCCTTTGGAGTTTTGAAGATGAGATGGGCCGTCCTTAGAAGTAAAACCTTTTTCGACATAGTGACTCAAAATAGAGTGATTTTGGCGTGTTGCCTTCTTCAAAACTTCATTCGTACTACAATGACTGTTGATCCAATGGATGGTGAAGATGAGTTTTTTGAAATGGAGCCAAACACGGAAGAACCACCACACACACCAAATAACTATGTCGAAGTGGTTGAGCCTACTAATGAGTGGACTGCTTGGAGGGAAACACTAGCTATTTCAATGTTTAATGAGTGGCGTGGCAACAATTGAATTTCTTTTCGATCCTTTTCCTTTCTTTTATTTCTTTCATTGGAATGTTTATGTTGTCTACGTGGAGCACTTTGACACTTTATGAATTGTACTTGCGTACACTTGTCTGTTTTATGAAAAAACGTTTATGTTTCACCCAACCGAATTTGTATTACTTTTTCTATGCTCGGAGTTCATTATGTTCCATTTATCGTTACTTGTTGTATGTTGCACATGATGGAGTACTTATGATTTAGTATGTAAAATTGACTAGTGATGGACTACTCTACAACTAGCGTGGGACGTGGGGCAAACGTTAACAATCAACGGCGAGTTTGGACGTTTGAAGAAGAACGTGCATTAATCCAAGGATTAAAGGAACTCATTGCACGTGGGTGGAAAGCTGACAATGGGTTCCGTTCCGGGTACACAACCTTTTTAGAACAATCTATGAAGCAACATTTTCCTGGGACTACAATTAAAGCCGAGCCTCACATCTCGTCGAAAATCACGGTATGGAATAAAAAACTATGTTTTACTTATACCACTTCTTTCGAACACGTCCGGTGTAGGGTGGTCTGAATCCGGCCACATGCTAGAAGTTGACGAGCCCGTGTGGCAAGATTATGTGAAGGTTCGCATTAGTCATCAACTAAACTCCTCTTTGTTTATTTTATATTTTATCCGTTCCCTTATGTTACCCTAATGTACAACCAAATTTTGTCTGCATGAAGGTGTACCCAAAAGGGAAAGGATTGCGCAACAAGCCCTGGCCGTGTTACAGTGATTGGGTGGACATTTTTTGAAAGGACCGTGCAACGGGTGAAGGTGCTGAAGGTTTCGCTGAAGCGGTTCAAGAAGTCCTAAGTAATACCGGTGACGATGGCCCTGCAAAAATGTAAGGCGTGGCGGGGTTGGTGGGGTCTTCGAATCCAATGAGAGTGAAATAGAGTCATCTCCGCAGGGTGTTGAAAGTAGTGCATCCGGGAAGGGTAAATGGGTCGGCAAACGAAAACGGTTTAAAGATGCGGAGGTTGAAGTCGTCGGCCTACTTTCTACTTTATGTGAGAAGGTCGATCAACGGTGGGGTCAAATGGTGGAAAGTATTGGGGTCCAGCACGACACGAAGGAGCAACGCATAGTTTTGTACGAGGCGTTGAAGTGTATTCCCTTTTTGACGACCGAAGAAAGATTTATCGTATCGAAGTACTTTTGTAGGAACAAAGAAGAAATGGACGTTTTTTTCAGCGTGGGCGATGAGGAAAAAGTGTCAATGGTGAAAATGATCCTCGAAAATAGGTTGTAGTTTGGAAGTATGTATGGTATAAACGGTGGAACATGTATTGTGTTTTGTTTTTCATGGCCGTACCATCCCTTTTGCATTTAACGGCCCTAAAATGTGGCCTACTTTTGGACTTATTAATATGTTTTGATATCCCCGGATGTAATATGATATTTGGGCACTCATTTTCCGAGTGGGGAGACGTAATTAGGGCTGGGACGTGTGGTTTTTGATGGTGTTGAAGGTGATTTAATATTTTTCTGAATTCATTTTATATTGCGTGACTTTGTGTATAACTGTTGACGTCTAATTACCATAAATGTCATGTTATTACAATTCATATGACCTGGACATTCATTCTTTATTTTTTGGCTCACGTATGGTATAATGTCAATACTACAGTGCAATTGTGAAATAATTATAAAAGTATGCTCAAGAAAAACTTTAATTAAGTATAATCTACTACCAATATTTAAAAAAAAAAAAAAATAAAAAAATAAAAAAAAAAAATAAAAGTGTAACTAGTGTTATAATGATCATACTAATACGTTCTACCAAAATAAATGCATAAAAACGTAACGGAATTAGCAGAAGACCAAGAATTCAATTTTTGTAGATATAGATGTGTACAAAAAAACCGTCCCACACATATTCTTATCACAGACTCTTCACAGGTGCACACATATTCTCAACACGCCATTTGCGCAATTAAAAAAAAATAAGAACAATATACATTGTACTTTCTCTTGTCCACAAAATCCACACAACACTAATTTTGAGCCAAATCAATAAAAATCCCTGCTATCACCGCCCCACCTAACCACTACTCCTTCAATGAGTTGCCATCATTTAAATATGAAATTGAGTACAATACATCATCAGCATAATTAAGTGGCTTTAATGTGTAATTAAATGTGACCTACCAAATTCACTCTACCACAACATTCACACGTCTCCCTATTTATTTGCCTTGAGTTAAATGGCCACTAGTCAACTTCTTCATTTTTTAGGCAAAATAGTATAACTCCCAGGTGAGGTTAGTGCAATTACTTCCTATACGTTGGCTACAAACTAAACAGCCGATAAGCTCTATTCTATCTACTACATTTGAAATTTTAATTATTGTGTTTCGTATTACAGGTAACATAAGCTCAAGATGAATCCACAGGAGCGTCATGCTAGCATGCTACGTCTTGCCGAGAGATATCGTAGGCCCGACTCTATTCTATCTACTCCGTGAAACTCCTGATGTCGACGTGCCACAAATTGTCAACTCCTTGTGACCACAACTTTCCATACAACTTACCGAAGAGCTGCTACTATATTTTTCGATGCTGAGGGTGAAAGCTAAGATCAAGGCACTCCACAGGAACTTCCGAGAGTTCGTCACATTTCTAGAGACTTTCGGTGTGAACTTGCAGGCGGAATCCGGACTAGTGACTGTGAATTCTACGTATTGGGCTTACGTGGGCCTGGTTTGTTTTACGTATTGATGTGAAATATTGTTGTATATTAGATACGACACATTAATTTTACTTCTGGCGTGCATGCAACGTGTAGGCAAACATTGGTTGCCTATTACTTTAAATATTCCTACTGTATTTTGATTGACACCATTCATTTCGTAGGAAACGAACTTGGAATACTATTTCCGTCATGTGGGTTTCCCATGGTACGAAGAGTGTGTTGAGCTGTGGGATGTTAGAGGTGCTGCAAGTGTGCTCATCGAGGCTGGTGAAAGACTGTATGACCCTATCATGTTTGACGACACGGATGACGAATATGAGGCTGCCGGTGACGGCAACGGGGCAGACGGTGGTCATGGTGCTGAGGTGGCTGTCGGGAATGAAGACGGTGATGGGGCCGACGGGGTAGACTACATGAACGGCACGGCCAACAAGGAGGAGTATGTGGGTGAGGGCCGGGGAGGAAGAATATGAGGAAGAGAACGTGGCCGAAGCCGCCGCAGTCGAGTTGGTTGACATTGAGTCGGACGAGGCACCAGATGAAATGGATATGGACACAGACGTGGACTCCTGCGTTGACTCCGACTAGATAGAACTCTACACATAATTACTAGTATATGGTGCGTGCGAACTTTTAGTCCGTTTTAGTTTTTGTCTTTTTGGGTTCATGTATGAAAGTAGAACTTGTCTATGTTGGATGGGTAAGTGGCATAATTTTGTTTGTACTAGATTGCCACAGTCACTATCTTTTGGGGATGTTGTATTATTGCCGCACTTATGGACTATTTTGGTAAGGTGTGTAAGTTTGTCTTTTTTCGGTTGATGCACTATAAAATATATATCTAATAGTTTGTACTTTCAACCATACATTATAACAAATAAAAAAAACAAACCATCCCTTGTAATACAGGTGAACCATGTTTCAGATACATAACTGTAAAAAATGATCAACTTTAAACCAATCAAAACTTAAAACACAACTATTTAGAGGTGGGTCTTTTATGTGTAATTAATTGGGGGCAGGAAGGTGCCGTATTTTACCAAAAAATTTAAAAACATTCTCCAATATGTAACACACAAAACATTATGCATCAACATTAGGTAGGTAGGCATACTGCAAACAAACATCAATACAGTGGGTACGTAAAAAAAACATCTTCACCATCATTGAGCTACATTAAACAACATGACACACAAAACACAAAAACACATGAAATACATATATTAGGCGCCTAAGTGGAATCATCAATATGCGTGGAAATTCAAACGGGCGGATCGCTAGTCGAACCCTTGCAAGAAGTCGGGTCTGGCTTGTGCGGTGGGCGGGAAATGCGCAATGGGGTTCGACTGCCCACCCTATTAATTAATACATGGGCATGCGTGTTGATGGAGCTTTCCGACGAGGCATCGTGTGGCCCACCATGTTGGGGATGACCGTAGTTGCGACTACAAAGCGTCTGCAAAGCATTGTGATAGGAATTGTCCGAAACCACATTAGTTCGTGCAGCAGGGAGAGCAAAAAAGCCTTCGTATGTAGAGTTGCGGTCATGAACAACTTCGGATGTTGGGTGTGTAGAGTAGACCTCCTCGAACATGAAACGCAAGTCTTCCTAGCGGGGGTCACCGGAATGTTAATAAGCAACGCTAAAAGCGTTGGACTGAAATGTTACACGAAATAAAATAATTACATAAATTTACATATATTTAGTTCAGGTATTAATAGAACTTTTGTAATATTTACGTGTTCAAATCTATATATATATAATTACTAGCTAATAACATTTAAGAAAACCTATTTAATAAAACCTCTAATATTTTCCCTCCATTTTCGGTTACAAAATTTATCATTAATGTTTTTTTACTTCTCACATTAATACATCCTATTAAGTGTAATCATGTATATTTCTATTATATTATATAATAATTAATGCTAATACCAACTAATAATAATTCACAATAAATATAAATTGCATAATTATAAACAATTATTTCAAGTTATTTATTTTAACATTAATATTATCTTTTTCTTTTGTATAAACAAAAGAAAATTTGCATGACAAATTTTAAAAATTTTTAACATTAATATTTATTTTAAAAAATTTTCTTTTGCATAATTATTAACATTAATATAAACAATTAATTCACAATAAACATAAATTGCATGAAAAATTTCCTTAAAAATAATTAGTAAATTGTTTTAATAGCATAGTCAAACAACTTTAGAATCATATAAATAATTGTTTTTGTAATAATAATAATAATAACAATAACAATAATAATAATAATAATAATAATAATAATAATAATAATAATAATAAAACTACTATTATCTAATGATAATAAATAATTGTTCATAATAATAAACAATCATTAATTTATTTTTTCTAATGATTAAATTTTAAAAATGTAATATGTTCATTATATAAAATTTAATATTAAATTCTCAAATATTATTTATAATATTTTATGTATATCTGTGCATGTGCACAAGATATTTACTAGTTATGAAATCATCATTACCTCGAAGATTTCGTCCTAAATGGCAACTGGAGCGGTGAGGATGTTCGATTGAACGCAGTGCCGCAAACCGGGCTTTCGTAGCATCCAACTAAAAACTTGGTACCGCTTTTGAAGAAAGTCAAATCTCTCCTCTAATTCAGCGTGACTATAAATGAGGTCGAGCTCACCGATTAGAAAACCGCAGCAATAATAGAAGACCACACCTCCGGGACGGCCATTTTTCCACTTGCCAAGCATATGCGACTCTATGAGGAAGTCGACAAAAACATTGTCAGCCTGTTTAGTCCAACGAGCATCGTAGAGGCATTCGTCTTGCGTTATAGGGGTGGAAAGGCGAGGCATTGTGTTTGAAATGAAAGGAAAATAAAAAAAATTTAGAACAAGTTTTTTTGATATAAATATCCGAAGTTGTCTGAGTTTGTGAGATGGTTTTATAGTGTAGTGAAAACCTTTCTGTATGCAATATAAAGCATTGGATTCTCTGGCAAAAAAAATTTTAAAACACCTCCTTTATAGTCAAAAGTGGGCATAATGTCTAAAAGATTTTTGAAAGAGTTGGAAATCTTTAAAAGCTGGCCAAACTATCCATCCCAATTGTCTTTAAGCACGTTAAAAAATCTGTAAAGGGTGATTGATGGACAAAACAGGGAAAGTGAAGGAAACAATCACGGGGGCTACAGAGTACAGTGGAGTTGTTTCAACTTTTGCATGAGGAATATGTTGAAAAAAATCTTGCAAAATGAGTTCATGAATTTCGAAATGTAAAAAAACCAAAGTGCATCTGCTAAAGTAAACTGCATATATATATATATATATACATATATATTATGTTCCTTGTCACAGTAAAAAAAAAAAATCATAATTCAACAGAATATCAACACAGAACACGGCCATGGCAGGGAAAAATGAAAGTAAAAAAAAACGGTACGTGTGTGTGCAAAAATTTGATATCCTTTCAAAAACAATGAAGGGGGCAAATATGTAACTATGCACCTTATCATAATGTCCATCTAGGAAAACAAACAAAAAAACAGATGTAAATAATCAAATCTCAAGTTGCATGAATCTACCAAAACAAACAAAGGATGGTTATAATCTCTACACCCCAATCTTGTGTCCAAAGATTAAAGTTATCTAATCCTGTCTTGCCAAACAAACGTGCTCTATGTCAACTATTGGGTCACCAGTCAATTGTTGAGCCGTGTAATTAATTTCAAAATTTTTAAAATTATATATAGTTTTTTTTCATATAGATATATATAAAAGTAACAAAAATAAATATTATATATATAAAATTTGTACATTAAAGAGTTAACAATATTGTATGTCATATAAATATTTACCATATAAATATATATAAATGGTTTTATTTCTTAAAAAAATTATATATTTAAAAAAATATACTGAGAGGGTCAAGTAGGGTTGACCCGACTGGGTCGATGCCCGAGTCGACCAGGTCTGTTGTCACCTGATCCAAATTATTCACTCAGACTGGTTCTAGCTCCGAGTCGACCGCGTCCCGGGTCGACCCCTCTCCCCTCGGGCCGATTCAAGTTGAAAAACAATGTTTGATATACAAGCATTGTTTTCTCTTAGTTGCAATTTTGGTATACAGTTTCAGTTTCTCTCTTCTCACTCTTTCATTAATCCTACCTAATTAATTTTATCTTATCTTTCATTTTTTTTATTTCCAAGAAATACCATATGGCTCCAAATTTTGAATATTATCTCACCTCTCAAAATTTGTCAAACTCCGAAAATGTTTCAAATTTTGAAATTATTAACATGAGTTATTTTCTCTGAGTCTTACTCAATTTCCTACTTCTAGAGTGTTAATGTATATGCTGAAAGCTTGGTTTGCATTTAAGTACTATTCTCAATTAAATAAAAATCATGTCTAACTTAACGCTTCTAGGTTCTGCTTCTACGTTATAATGTTTTACATTTAGATAATTATGCTTCATCACGAATGAGCAGGACATCATATTATTGGTTAGTTTTAAAATATAAATAAATGGTTCACAAGCTAGATGGAAATAAACAACCCATTGCGAACGGTTGTAGTGTAATTTGGATCAATTGGTCTTAACTGATGAAGTGTATCAGTACACTATGAGTGTACTGATACGGATCACGAAGGATAACCACTACATCACCGCTGCACAACTGCGCTCCGCCTCGTCCTAGTGCAGTGCAGCGATGTTGAGCCGCACACACCACAACACGCATCGAGCACCCAGTTCTGCATCCAGTCAACGCCCAGCTTGACCGCACGCAGAGACCTGGTGACAACATGCGACTCCGATGAGCTGCAATCGGTGATCCAAGGAGGCGGCCCAACGACTGCACAAGGAAGTGCAGCGAGGAACATGGGCTAGAGGACACAACTCAGAATCGCCCATCCAGCCTCGTAGGCTACGTAAGTCGTGTCAGGGTCGACAATTTTTAAAGTGTAAGTCTTGATCCTAAATATAGATTTTGCTACATTATAATATAATTTTTCATAGATTTGAATGTACACATCGTCGACGTTTTTCATATAACCTAAGAACTAGTATCAAAGCCCAGACCATTCATCTTTGTTCACTATTCGAATTAAGACTTGTGTGACATATGTGAATCTGAATTAATTGTGTACGTGCACAACACATATTAGATTAGAATTGCAAATAAGTATTGTTTGCACTTGTTCTTGAATCTCACTATTGTAGCCCGAATGTATGTGTTCAATTAATGTATGCTTTATAAGTCATGAATAGTCGGGAATTTTTGGGTTGTGGAATGATTGTAATAATTTAAACGCACGGTGGGACACCACATAATTTATTGCTTTATGAGAATCATTCATGTACGGCCCCTGCGTGGGTCGTAGGTCAAATTATGTAATTGTGTACTATTTTGTTCGATTGACCCTGCCAGATGATGAAGACGATGGCCGGCACACCCCAACAAGGTATGCCAACGCGAACCTACGGTCGCTGGTGCGCGTGGTGTCATGCGCACGCAGGCGCGCCCGCTGACAGCATGGTACCAGTCACAGGAGTCATAGGCGCTGCCAAGGCATGCACTGCGGCATCGAGTGTGATGGTAACCTGGGACAGTAGGTGACAACCGGCGTGCGATTTTTCGCAATAGCCCATGTGCAGTGCCTGTGTCCGCGACATAGTGGCTGAGCGCACGCAGAGACTCAGACAATGGCAGCACGATCTTCAACATTGCAAGCCTCACTCTAGCGGACGACGGGGCTGCTATAGTGCTACGACGCAAGGGAAACATACGACGGTCAATGAAGCGCGTGCCAGCTTCCTCGCGACACCCAGTGACTGCGACGCTCCACGACGACAACAAGCAGAAGCAACCGACCTGGTGGCGCAACTTTTCCCGGTGATGGTTTTAGGCGATCGTGAGTGGCCGACAAGGGATTGCTTGTTCGAGAAGGAAAGTGGGATTCACTATAAAAAGGAAATTATAAGTCTAAAAGGAAACCAACAGTTCTACAAGGACAAGGATTGGTAGTTTCCAATTAAGATTGGAATCTTAATTATTAGCGATAATAGTTGGATTTATTTTCTAGTTTATTATGGCCTTTAATTATGCATGTGTCTGATTAATTTGTTGTTTTACGTGCAAGAATAATTAATAGAAGCATGTTTCAGAAAATCCCTTGATTAAAATATTAAGTGTTTAATGGAATTAAATAAATTTCAAATTTCATGGCCTCCATTACTGGTTTGTCGGTGAAGTGGTTAAATTTGCGCGTTGGAGTTAGGGCCTTCCTCCTACAGGATAAACTTTAATCACAGTTCACCTGGACAAACTTTCTTCGGGATGGCAGTAGGAAACTATTTCAAAAGCGTACAAGCATCCAATAGGTGTACGTATAATTTTGACAATGAACTTGGTACCAAGTAATTGGTCACACTTATAGCACACTTAGTAGTGGTCTCCCATAGGAATCACCACTCTTATTTGTACAGGCAAAAACTGGACCGATTATTAATTATGTGTTGACAAATTCAAAAGGTCGAAATGGATAATTAATGAGATAAAACCTTCTTCTTGCGACGGTATGAACCGTAAGCATCCAAGTAACTACAGTGAATATCAGTTAATATAATAAAATATAATTATTAAGGGATCAACATTTAAGAATTAAATTCGAAGACTTGACTAAGTAAAACTTATTTTGCATGATCTCAGGTTTTAAAAATTTCTTTCAATCCTTTGTTCGTAACTCTCAAAGAAAACAAACTCACTGGTCTCAACTATAAAGACTGGAAAAAGGAACTTGGATATAGTTTTAACTACAGAGGGGTACAAGTTTGTGCTTTCAGAGGTTGTCCGGATATGCCCGTTGAGATGACAACAGACCAAGAGAATGAGGAGTATGGTGTTGGAGTATACTATAAAGCAGACTTTTGTGTGTGCTTTTAGAATGTATTTACTTGATTTCCCTGTTGACTGACATAAATATTTTCACATTGTTGCACTCTTTATGATTGCCTGTCTATTAAATTTCCTATTATCTTATATTATAGACAATGTGTTGTCACACTGAAGATCACATTGTCGGTTCTTTATAAGATATAAATTATATTCACAACTGAGATAGTTATAGAGGTTGTAGTATAAACTGGATGTAGCTTGTCTTGGCTATTTAGTTTATACTATTGTGTTGCTTCGCATTGAAAAGATCACAATTAAAATGTGTTCTTCTATTCTGACTGTCATGAATAACCAAGGTCTCGATGACTCTACTAATTCTTAACTCTAACTTGATACTTAGATATATGAGATATTTGTTTGTTACTTTGGCTACCATGGGTGAGAACCAAGTTTGGTTCAATATGCTCCGTATATTGGGTAACGACATTGTCTGCCTGATAACTATTTAGTGGCATTAGGGCATCGTGTCTTGGTCATCTAGGTTGATGTCGTCCCATTAAGGAACTCATAAAGATTATCGTATGAAACCCTGCAGTTAGATTTACTCCATACGATAATGTGGTTGAGTGTTACTACTTAAGAAATAAAAAATATTAATTAATTAAAACAGTCAGAAGCTTTAATAGTTAATCTACATGCAATATCTTAAACACGAGAAATTATATTGAGTCTGATAGAAGTCCAGATTCATTTGGGGATAGGACAAGAGTGCAATATTAATTCTCTAGTGGCATGAATTAATACTTACAGGCCAAACTGTGTTATGGGCTGAACATAAGAATTTAGGCTCGTAGAGAACCCAAACCCTATACCTTCTAGGAGATCCCTAGACTAGCCCAAATGAACTCCATTAATAGAGGGGCTTTCTCATCTCCAAAAACCTTTTGTATAAAATT